AATGAAACAAAAGGCAAGGCTGTCCAGTCTATGCATAGCACTTCGTTTAGACTCCTATAATGTGATTGTTTATTGTTTTTGTTTAGTTTATTTGTGTTTTAAAGGCGCACTGCGTAACTTTTCTGGTGATTGTTGATGCCATTGTTCTTCCGGTACGACAATAAACAGATCTACCTTACATTTATTCAATTACACGTGGTTTTATAGCTCAAAAATACTTCGAAAAACAGACATTCTGACTGTGAGCGGGGTCGCCTCTCCACAGATCTGACCCCGTAACTTGGTCTGGTTTGGTCTCCATGACGATAGAAAGGTTTAATCCCAATCCAGGTATGTTTTTTGAGAAGGAAACAACATTATAACACAGAAAAAAAACAAACCGGACCAAGTTACAGGTCAGATCTGCGGAGAGGCGACCCCGCTCACAGTCAGAATGCGTGTGGTTTTTTTTTAGGTATTTTTGAGCTATAAAACCACCTGTAATTGAAAAAATGTAAAGTAGAGATGTTAAATGTCATACTGTGGGACATTCTGAGTATGAGCGGGGGTCGCCTCTCCACAGATCTGACCTGTAACTTGGTCTGGTTTGGTGTCCATGATGATAGAAAGGTTTAATGTCACTCCAGGTATGTTTTTTGAGAAGGAAACGACGTTTTAACGCAGAAGGAAACAAACATTATAGCGCAGAAAATCAGAAAATCACGTAATACTGTACTTGTATGTAGGACCTTTAAAGCTTAACGGATCTCACGGGCAGTTGAGTGACAGGCGGTCCGGTCTATGCATAGCCCCGCGTCTAGACTCCTATAATGTGATTGTTTTCGTCCTTTCACTCACTCCCAACTGCAAATACTGTGGGCGGTAAAGTTCCTGCTGTCACCAGGCAACCAGCTCCAGGCAACGACAGCCCCAAACTGATCCTACCCCCCTTCATAATTGTGCCATTCGTTATGCCTTGTCTCTGAAGAATTATTATTATTGCGCATTCTTAATCCCAAGGAAAAGGTCGGAGATTGAGCAAACAATTTATGGATAGATGGTTGAATTATTTAATGAGAGAGCAGGAGCAAATATGAGAGAAAGGAGCGGGATTTTTTTCTCTTTCCCATGCAGTGACCCCTCCCAAGATGCTAGATTAATTATTTAGACGTTGAGAGCAGCATCTTAGGACCAGAGCTATTACAATCTCGATGTCTAATATAACGGCGTCGGCTCTGAAAACAGACCTATAACCTAATGTAATGAATTGTCAACAGCGCTTACGGTGGTCCCAACCAGCCCGGGCGACACAATATTGGTACGCAAATATTGACGCGACGAGGATACAGCGAGTAATAAGCAACGTTAAAAAATACCACCGCGTGTATTTCTAGGTATTTCTATGTCCGGCGGTTGCCATGGCGACGCACCCATCCGCGATAACAAGCCAAAAACGTTTTTTTTAGATTGTCCCGAAATGTGACAACGGTGAATCGTGTTGCTTTTCTGGCGGGGGATGGCCGTGTCAGGAATGTTTCACGGTGTGGCATTTAAACCTTTCTATCTCCATGGAGACCAAACCAAGCAAGTCAGACAGGTCAGATCTGCGGAGAGGCGACCCCACTCATAGTTAGTTAGAATGTTCTCAAAAATACCTAGAAAAAAAGCGGACTTCGTGACAGTGAGCGGGTTTGACGCTCCACCGATCTGACCCGTAACTTGGTCCAGTTTGGTGTCCATGACGATAGAAAGGTTTAATCCCACTCCAGGTATGTTTTTTGACAAGGAAACGCCATTATAACACAGAAGAAAACAAAGTAGACCAAGTTACAGGTCAGATCTGCAGAAGAGGCGAACCCCGCTCACAGTCAGAACACCTGTTTTTCTAGGTATTTTTGAGCTATAAAACCATTTGTAAGTAAATAAATGTAAAGTAGAGCTGTTTAAAGTCATACTGTGGAACATTTGAAGCAGAGCAGTGACGTATCCATAGAAACAAGCAGCCAAGCAACCAAAAAGTCACACAGTGCACCTTTAAATACAGTCTATTCCTTAGCATCAATTCAATCTTTATTTAAAAAAAAAACACAAAATATCTGAGTCATAGTAAATAAAAACAAGAAAAATGAAACCGAAAGTATTGAAATAAAGTCAGAATTTCCAGCACCATGACAACGCCGTTACAGTACACGGACACTGCAAGTAAACACAAGCACCCGTACGTTTTTTGACAAGGAAACGCCATTATAACACAGAAGAAAACAAAGTAGACCAAGTTACAGGTCAGATCTGCGAAGAGGCGACCCCGCTCACAGTCAGAACGCCTGTTTTTCTAGGTATTTTTGAGCTATAAAACCATTTGTAAGTAAATAAATGTAAAGTAGAGCTGTTTAAAGTCATACTGTGGAACATTTGAAGCAGAGCAGTGACGTATCCATAGAAACAAGCAGCCAAGCAACCAAAAAGTCACACAGTGCACCTTTAAATATAGTCTATTCCTTAGCATCAATTCAATCTTTATTTAAAAAAAACACAAAATATCTGAGTCATAGTAAATAAAAACAAGAAAAATGAAACCGAAAGTATTGAAATAAAGTCAGAATTTCCAGCACCATGACAACGGCGCTACAGTACACGGACACTGCAAGTAAACACAAGCAGCCCATAGCTATTAAGACATCAGCAGAAGGGAGAGAAAGAGAAAATTGACTCACTCCGCCCACCAGCGCAGCCCCGGTACGAAAACAAGCTATCATCATATAGTCCGGATCACTAGTGGCAACTCTATCTACTTACAATGCAATATACTTCTCATTAGCATGGTCAATTAGAGGAGACTGTTTGCCCCACCGTTGTACGACCATGTTATACAGAACCATATAACAAAACAATGATGTCTCTCTATGGCTTGCAAAGGAATTCTGTTGCTATTGAGAAGTTATATTGCGGACTGCCAAGTTTGTCCGAGACACGGGGGAGACAATGCAAGCAAAAATCCGGATCAATATCGGCTGGGGCCCATTCCAAAACAACTGATTAACCTGAATGGCGTTTCAAGAGTAGCTTTATTAAATGGTTTAAGGTCATATAAATTACTACGCTGCTGCATCCTCCGCTCTTTGCCAATTTAAAGCTTAAAAAGGGGACGATATTATTACGCAAAATTGACTCCTGTGAGGTTTAAGACGTGTTACATCATCAAACAAAACTCCACACGCAGGCCAATGTTAACCCACCTACCTGAAAATATACAACAGAGACGCGATAATTACTGCAGCGACTCCTATATGAAGCTGGAACAATAGATTTTGAGGCTCAGAATTTATCGTGCGCACATTTTCTTTACAATCATGGAGAGATTTTTATTATTTTAGCTGTTATATGATCAGATTTGAGCTGTAGAGTCAAATAAAAAAATGTATAAATTGGTCAAAAGCATTTACAGCATCAAGGAAACAGAAAATTTACCAGAAAAGTTACATAGTGCTTCTTTAAAAGGTCCTATATTACGCAAAGTTGACTCTTGTGAGCTTTAAGTTGTGTTACAATGTTGTTAAATCATCAAAAACAGACCTGGAGTTGTGTTTTGTTTCATTCACACATGTTTAATCAACCCTTTATTATTAATTTGTCTTTATTTCCAATGCTCCAAATGCTCTGTTCCAACTTGTGATGTCATGTAGTACTTTTCAATCTACTTTTTACCTTTTGTTCACTAGAGATCGGCTATTCCAGGGCTGAAATATCCAAATTAATTGAATGATAGTGTCTAAAAATGGAGTTTAAAAACGCAGTAGAGCACTTAATGTATCACCACGTGACATCACAAGCTGCAACAGAGTGTTTTCTGTTGGAGAGAAGAGCTCAGCCTAAAAATATGCAGGGTTTGTGTGTTAATTAAACATGTGTGAGTGAAACAAAACACAACTCAAGGTCTGTTTTATTATTATAACATTATTAAAACATAACATAGATTAGAAAATATCTTAATATGAGCCCTTTAAGTCAATCAGTGCATTTGAATAATACTTTAAAATTCATTATAAATAGGGCTGGGTATCTTTATGAAGCTGCCGATACGATACACACCTCGATACAGTGCTTTCTCGGTTTGATACGATATATTTCAAATCAATTCAGTACAGTTCAATAAAAAATAATGGCTAATTCATGGCTGTGAAACACTTTTTGTGCAAAGTTCACATGAAACACAAACATTTTAATCCTGAAAACAGTGAAAATGTCAAATGTGTTGCATAAATGAGTTTTTTTCCCTCTAAACAAGCAACAAAACTGTAGCTGTAACAAAATAATTTAGTAAAATAAACCAAAAAACAGACTTGGCGATATATCGATACAGCAGCCCACGATATCGATACTCTATCATTACATTAAACGATACGATATATATAGATATTTTGATATTTTTGCACACCCCTTATTATAAATATACTTATTACAGCCAGATTCAATTCAGTAAAGATGTAGTAAATAATTCTTAGATTATCTAGTTATTATAGTGTAATGAGCCTATTATTAACTATTATTCAAATCCATTTCATTTCAGATATTAAGGGCATTTTTGCAAGCTTTGGCCCAGCTGAAATAATAAAAACACTCACAAATAAAATTTTATGATGTTGCAATAATTCTATTCGTAAACATGCATAAACCAGGCCCCTAAAAGTTATGAAATTATGATGCTTTATTGCGTTCCGATCAATACGCTTATTACGCGGCGTGTTTGCATGGAAATCCGGTATGATAAGACGCGGTAAAGCTTGCATTTGCGTGGAAATCGTTGAGATAATGAGGTGTTTTTGTGTGTTTCTTGGATGAGGCTAAAGCTAACCATCTTTACCTGCGCACGAGCCGTATTCACACCGGTGCCGCGGCTGTCACGCACTCGTAGCGTGGACGTGTTTACCGCTAATCACGGCTAAAATCACGCGGAGAACAAAACGCGTAAAGCATCAGCGGCACGCGGTTGTTAAAAAACGCATTTCCCCGCGTTGTCTTACCGCTTTGCACAGCGCTGGAACCGATCAGGAGCCGTGCCTCGGGTCCGCGGAGAGAAAGAGGCAGCGGCAGATCCGACGTAAACCTCTTACGCACGGCACGTACAGCACGTCGTATCAGCAGCGCCCGGGGTTTTAGCGTAGCGACGGCTCCACGTGGTTCCTGTTATGTTAGCATTTGCACATTATTTGCGTGCGCATTAAGGTATTTACAGCTATATTAAACCGCGCGGAGCTTTTGTTTTGTGAGTGTTTTTGTCCGCGGATATTGTTTCCCGGATGTGATGTAAAAGACACGCGCTGGAATCTGCCGGGAAAAAAAGCGGAGGAGTGGAGTTTGTTGTTGATGTTGTTGTGATTTTTTGACAGGTACGTACGTGGTTTGGGTTAAATGACTTAAAATCTCTGTCTGATCTGTGCAAAACTTATTATTTTGTTTATGCAAGCTAGATTCACCTTTCTGTCTTCACGGAGACCAAACCAGACCAAGTTTGAAGTTACAGGTCAGATCTGTGGAGAGGCGACCACGCTCTCAGTCGCAATGTCTGTATTTCTAGGTATTTTTAAGCTATAAAACCGCCTGTAAATGAATAAATATTAAGTAGAGCTGTTTAATGTCATACTGTGGAACTTCTGAAACGAAAAGGGCACAGACCCCTAACCGAAAAGTTACACAGTGGAGCTTTAAGTATAGACATGTAAAGACACGTGGAGTTTGTTGTTGTTGTGATTTTTGACAGGTGCATACGTGGTTTGGATCTGTACAAAAGTGATTATTTTGTTTATGCAAGCTAGATTTAACGTGACTTATCGTGACGTGAAACCTTTCTATCTACATGGAAACAAAACCAGACCAAGTTTGAAGTTACAGGTCAGATCTGTGGAGAGGCGAACCCGCTCACAGTCAGAATACCAGTTTTTCTAGTATTTTTAAGCTATAAAACCGCCTGTAATTGAATAAATGTAATGTAGAGCTGTTTAATGTCATACTGTGGAACTTCTGAAACAAAAAGGTGACAGACCCCTAACAGAAAAGTTACACAGTGCAGCTTTAAGTATAAACATGTAAAGACACGTGGAGTTTGTTGTTGTGATTTTGACAGGTACGTACGTGGTTTGGAGCTCTGTCTGATCTGTGCAAAAGTGATTATTTTGTTCTTGCAAGCTAGATTCAGCGTGACTTATCGCGACGTGAAGCCTTTCTATCTTCACGGAGACCAAACCAGACCAAGTTTGAAGTTACAGGTCAGATCTGTGGAGAGGCGACCCCGCTCACAGTCACAATGCCAGTTTTTCTAAGTATTTTTCAGCTATGAAACCACCTGTAATTGAATAAATGTAATGTAGAGCTGTTTATTGTCATACTGTGGAACTTCTGAAGCAGAGCAAAGACATAACCATAGAAACAAACAGGTGACAGACCCCCAACTGTAAAGTTACACAGTGCAGCTTTAAATATAGACATGTTAAGACACACTCTGAGATCTACTGGGGGAAAAAACTGAGAAGTGGACTTTGTTTGTTGTGATTTTAACAGGTACGTTTGTGGTTTGTGTTCACTCGCTCAAGATCTTTGTCTGATCTCTACAAAAGTTATTATTTTGTTTACTAGAGGTGTAGCGATATCCAAGTCTCACTATACAATATTGTCACGGTATGAACCTCACGATATGATATTGTGGGAAAACTCACAATTAGGGACGTAACAATATCCAAACCTCTCAGTACGAATTTTTCTCGATATACATCTCACAGTACGATATTTATTGTGATATTTTGTGGAGACTAAACATCTAAAACCGTTAATGTTCTACTTTTTTTCTCTTAAAATGCCTTGACAAGACTCAATCTAAAGAACTAAGATTTCAAAGTGTTAGAGCTGTTATTTCTTCTTGTAGTCTGCACTGAAATGGAGCAAAGGATCATGGTCTATGTAGTTCCCTCTATCTTTTTTTTAGCTATTGCTGCACCATAACTCTTAATTTAACCAAAGAGACTTGTAATTTGATATATTGTGATGGTCCATGATATTATTGTGAGAACTTTGACAATATGATATCATAATATTTCAGTTATTGTTACATCCCAGTTGTTTATGCAAGTTAGATTCAACGTAACTTGAGCTTTGCCCGCCTTTCTCGCTAAGTTTGTTGCATAAATTCAAGTTACAAAGCTACCAAGATTATAGCATATTATTCTTACTATTTTTGTTTTGGTTTTTTTTCAAATGGCATAAACAGTAACATTGCTAGAGGCTTAAGAATTCATTATCACAGGGCACGGCAAGTGTAATATCTGCATTATGCGCTATACAAATGTAGAAAAATAATAAATATACTCACATCTTATATTTCAAATTTCATACAAAGCGGTTTGGTTTTCATGGCTTTGGAATTTGTGCAGTAATTTAGAGAATTTATATTATATTTGGAGAGGACAAGCAGGACTGAAATACAACAAATTTGGGTTTCTGACTTGAAAGTTTTACAGCAATGGATATGATTATAGTATTACATATTATATTGTTAACATGCTACTGCTAAATGACAACTTGATTTAATTTTTTATAATGTAGAAATATTATGTTGCTATTACGTTCAGTACACGCTGTAACTGTCTTATTCTCAGTTCAACATCTGCTATTTCACATCTATGACAAACCTCTATCTCTAAGACCAATATAACTCATTATTGGACTATTAAAACGTCCAGCTATGCAATAAAACGCAAATAAATAGACAGATAAAAAGCGTGTATTCTCTTGATATTCTCTGGCGTAGATTGCACTTGGTTAATCAAAGTGGTGCAGGCTACGTACACTGTTCTAGTCCCAAACAGGTGCAGGTGTTGCTGATAACATTAAAATCCAACATGTCCAATTAAGCCTTTTCCATTGGGCCGTAACGTTCGGTGCCAAATGCCCAAATAAAAAAAAAAAAACTCTATGAAGCTGTGGTTAACTCGGTCTGTTTTAAGTTAGTCACATCCAGAAGGTGGAACGTAACAAAGTAAAAGCAGCAGATACTTACAATTTATACTTAAGTAGATTTTAAAGTGGTTACATCTTACTTTTATTTCATTATATTTAAGAGCAGGTATCTGTACTTTCTACTCCACTACATCTTTTAGTATTTTTTATTACACTGAAAAAAAAAGGTTGCTGGATTTGCGTAAAAAAGTTATGGACAGCGGTTGCACGCAATAAAGTTATGCTTAGGCTTTGAAACTTTTTTCGAACCCCTCTACACATATTTTTCTCGGAACATGAACGTCACTTTTTCATGTTGATGAAATTTGAACAAATCATGCTGAATATGCATATTTATCTTATGGTACCTTATCATGAAATGTATAAGTATGTATAATGTAATTTAATTGATCTAATTCTGTAAAAGAATACAAAAACAGTCTTTAGTTTTCCACAGTTCTGTCTTGTCTTAAACAGAATCAAACACACAGAGACACAAGTACAGAGACACACAGTTTGGAGCTGGACAGTGTGAAGATTTATTCCAGTGAAGAAGCTCTGGTCTCTGCCTGTGGACACAGGAATAACACATGATGATCACATTCTGATGATCTACTCTGTTGTACATGTTTAAATACATTTAAAGTACTTATTACTACAATAATGGACCAGAACAGAATCACAAGAACATTAGAAGTGTATCTGCAGAAACAAAACTCACCATGTGCTGCTTTTCTTCCTCTAAACACAGTAACAGGGAGGGCATCTGGTATAAAGTCTCCTAATGCCACATCACCTTGTACAAGTACGATAACAGTTTCAATAGGAAGTTCATTTTGAAATAATTTTAGTTGGTTTACTTACTTTGTTCATCTGTGGTCTGTGGTTTGTTGGTTCTCAAACATCTTCCTTTTTTCTGAAACATCAACTATAACATTCATGAACTTCCCCACAGCTCCAGCAGAACTCTGGACGTCACTCTGTGTTTGTAGACGACTCTGGAACAAGCACATTCAAATCTTAGTACAAGTGTCACACTCTTGTAGATGGACAGTCAAAAACAATTTGTTTCAAGCTGTCCTTACATTAACTCTAATTTCAAATAAAACACCACAAACTTGTTTTAACAATGACGACATTCTAGGCCGGAGAAGCACATAATAAAATCTTTAAAAAGTCTCACCTCCAGATCAGTTCTCATAATCCTCCTGCTCCACACTGTGTGTCTCTGCTCCTGGATCTGTCCTGTGTCCTGTTACATTTTAATTTTCCCTCCAAAAGTTTTGGGGAGGAGAATTCCAGAGGGAGGAGCCTCACCAGAGATTATAATAAAGTCATGTTTCCTCAACCTGATTAAAACATGCAGGTCTCACATCGGCCACAATCAAGCGATGTTTGTAAGATTTAAACATGCTTGACAGAGAAACGTAAAAAAGTGATGTTATTGTTGTCAAATTTGTTTTTGCAATTTGAGCAACCCCTCTCAGACCATTTTTTCAGTGTATAGTCTGAGACCTGCTGAAGAGGCTGAAGGGTTTATTTTTTAACATGTTTGCAGTTTGAGCAAACAAAAATATACAAATAAAAACGGCTAGGGGAAAAAACAAAAACATTGATTCAGTTTCTGTTGAACCCAATTCAGCACAAATCTGTAGCAAAATCACAGCATTTACAGCTTTATTAAGTCTCAAAATCTGCACGAAATACTTTAACTTTTTACTCTTTAAGTAGATTTTTAAGTTACTTACTATGGTAACAGGTTTTGCAAAAATATCTAATTGAGAAACATTATGATTGTGATTACATTTTTGTTTTAATAATAGGATTGTGTTCAAAGTTTACATTTTAAACACGCTCATAAGAACTGACAAAAAGACTGAAATGTTAAAGTTTTTGTACAGATCTAAACTACAGGGCGAACTGTTTTTATGTAAAATAATAATGTTTCTTTTTGTTGTTGTTTGTGGAGGAAATGATGATACTTGAAAATTTTGCAGACTTTGGGATTTGCTAATTACGTCAATTCAATAGTGATTAATCTTGCAGCTGTAGCAGGAAGTTGAGTTCTACTTTCAATACTTTAGTTCGTGTCAAATTTAGATTTAATTTGAAAACTTTACATAAACAGGACAAAATTGGGCTTTTTATGGAAATTTTTAGGATAGACTTGATCTATAACAGTAAATTACCACAGTACAATGCTAAAGCCACAGTATGCAACTTTATGGTTACAAAATAGAACAAAATAAAGTTGTTTTATTTTTTTCCTGGGCTTGCATCTCCACAGAACTGACTCTTATTTGGTCTGAAGGCATAAAAACTTCATGGACAATGTTTAAAATCCGTGTATCATTTGTTCATTTGTTTTTCAAAATAAAACCAAAAATAAGAAAATGAAAAAAACAACTATTTTCTTCATTATTTGTCTCCAGAACCAAAATGAAAAAACAGATAATGATTCGTTTTTTTTTCAGTTTTAGATTTTGTGTTTAAATGAAAAATGAAAAAAAAACTGATAACGGCCGGTTCCTGTTTCTGTGACTTAAACTGCGATGCCGGACTTTTGCGCCGCACACGGACTGAACCAGGACTGAACCAGGACTAAACCAGGACTAAAACAGGTCCGGGACTGGGTCTGGGACCAGACCGGGACCAGACTGGGACTTAGATCCAGATTGAGACCGTGACTGAGACCGGGACCAGACCGGGACTGAGACCAGGACTGAGACTGGGACTGAGACAGGACCAGACCGGGACCAGACTGGGACTTAGATCCAGATTGAGACCGTGACCAGACCGGGACTGAGACAGGGACCAGACCAGGACCAAGATCAGGACTGAGACCGGGACCAGACCATGATTGAGACGGGACTGAGACTGGGACGGAGACAGGACCAGACCGGACCAAACTGGGACCAAACTGGGACTTAGATCCAGACTGAGACCGTGACCAAACCGGGACTGAGACAGGACCAGACTAGACCAGACCGGGACTGAGACCGGACCAGACCGGGACCAGACTGAGACCAGGACTGAGACCGGGACTGAGACTGGACCAGACCGGACCAGACTGGACTTAGACCAGATTGAGACCGTGACTGAGACCGGGACCAGACCGGGACTGAGACCAGGACTGAGACTGAGGACCAGACGGACCAGACTGACTTAGACAGACCGTGACCAGACCGGGACTGAGACCGGGACTGAGACCAGACCACCAGACTGACTTAGATCCAGATTGAGACCGTGACTGAGACCGGACCAGACCGGGACTGAGACCAGATGAGACTGGGACTGAGACAGGACCAGACCGACCAGACTGACTTAGACAGAGAGACTGACAGACCAGGACCAAGATCAGGACTGAGACCGGGACCAGACCAGGACCAGACCATGATTGAGACTGGGACTGAGACTGGGACGGAGACAGGACCAGACCGGGACCAAACTGGGACCAAACCGGGACTTAGATCCAGACTGAGACCGTGACCAAACCGGGACTGAGACAGGAACCAGACTAGGACCAGACCGGGACTGAGACCGGGACTGAGACCGGGACTGAGACTGGGACCAGACCGGACTGAACCGACCGAGACCAGGACTGAGACCGGGACGAGACCAGGACTGAGACCGGGACCAGACTGAGACCGGGACTGAGACTGGGACCAGACCGGGACTGAGACCAGGACTGAGACCGGGACTGAGACTGGGACCAGACCGGGACTGAAAATGGTTTAGTCCTGGTTCAGTCCTGATGCGGCATCGCAGTTTAATTTACGGAAATGGGAAACGTCCGTTATCAGCTTTTTTCATTATTAATTTAAACACAAAATCAAAAACTGAAAAAAAAATCATTATCTGTTTTTTCATTTTGGTTTTGGAGACAAATAATGAAGTAAATAGTTGTTTTTTCATTTTCTTATTTTTGATTTTATTTTGAAAAACAAACGAACGAATTATCCTCAGATTGTTTAACAGTGCAGTTTAAAATTTCTGTTTTCATGGAAGAGTTACATGATGCACCTTTACTAAAATTATAGTATTTTATAAACAAAACACCTTTTAATTATCAGTGTGGTATCAAAACTGTTATTGAGTCTTTGGTTATTATTCCAATTAAAACGTTAGTATCGTGACAGCACTTCTTCCTGAGTTACAGTTTGAAGGATGAGAGGACAGATTTTCCATAAAGGCACCATAAAGAGTCTACACAAAAAAAAAAAAAAAAAAAACACGCGCCGCCACTTTGTTCTCGTAATGTTCTTTTAATTGTGTATTTTTCTGTCTAATCTGTACAGAAGCCGCCTGACCGAGCGGCGGATGAGGACCCGCTAATGGAAATAGATGGTAATGGCACGGGGACGTCTCGCTGTGAAACAAGATGGTCGCCGCAACTGTCAGGGCTCCCGCTCAAGCTCCTACAGCGACTTATGCTGTTCCAACGCCAAGGAGTGGAGTTCGCCCTCTCTAAAAACGGACGGTAAGAAAACAACAAACACACATATTATCTATTATGTTTACGCTCATTTAAAACTGTGAAAAGTCTGAGATGTAATTAGGGCTGCAAGATACATCGTAATTAAATAAATCATAGTAGAAAATGTAGGGCAATAGTTAAAGGGCCCATATTACGCCAAAAATACAACATAAAAAATAAATAATAAAGGATAACGTGTGTGAATGAAACAAAACACAACTCCAGGTCTGTTTTGGACGAGGTAACAACATTAAAACACAACTTAAAAGTCAATCAAATGGGACTTTTAAATCGAAATCACGATCTGAATAATATTAAAACATATAATTTATTGTTTTTTGCTCTGTAGGGATGTAACAGTAACCGAAATATTGTGATATCGTGTCGTCAGAGTTCTCACGATAATATCATGGACCATCACAATAAATCGAATTACAAGTCTCTTTGCTTAAATTAAAGAGTTATGGTGCAGCAATAGCTAAAAAAAAAAAAACAGAGGGAACTACATAGACCATGATCCTTTGCTCTATTTCAGTGCAGATTACAAGAAGAAATAACAGTTTCAAACACTTTTAAGTCTTAGTTCTTTGGATTAAGTCTTGTCAAAGCATCGTTAGCCTCCCCAAAATATCATAATAAATATCGTTTCGTAGATGTGTATCGTGAAAATATCGTACTGAGAGATTTGGATATTGTTACATCCCTAATCGTGAGCTTTCCCACAATATCGCAATAAATATCGTACTGTGAGGTTCATACCGTGACGATATTGTATCATGAGACTTGGAAAAGTGTGATCAGTTTAGTTTTAGAATAATGCAAGCAGTGTATCTCCAATAGGGATGGGCATTCGATTAAATTTTCTTAATCGATCGTCGGAAGAATTAACGATCGATTATCGATTAATCATTAACGTTTTTTTATTAAAATTATCATTATTATTATTACTATCTGCACTACTAATTTGCATAAATAAATTCAACTTACCGACATATAAACATAACGACTCTAGAGCCACATCAGCCCGTTTGACATTATAATGTGTTTAATTCAGTTTTGCGCAACTTTCACAGAAACAAAACTTAAAACCACATCGCTAATTTGCATAAACTCAGCGAAGATAAAACTACAGCTCTTGTGTCACTGATGTGGTTCAACTTCTGTCGGACTAAAGGACACGACTCAGGTGAATACAGGTTAGTGTGAACATATTTGCGTTTGTCAAAACCAGGACAGCGTACGGGGGGAGGGAGGTGGGGACTCGTCATCGACATTGTGCGACTCTCACCTGGTAAAGCTTTTTAATGTTTTTTTTTTCGGTGTCCTGGTGCTTTGAGGTCCCTGGCATCCCCACTGGACACCGAAACATATGTGCTGCTTTACACACTGTGCACATGGACTCACACTTGCGTGGAAAAGCGTGGAATTTCTTGTACAAGTCATCGTTAAATACGCATTTGCGCTTCGGCATGTTGCAGACTGACCGACTGTTTGTGTCTCCTCGCTCCTTCTGAGTTACAGAGAGCTACATGAGCTGCTCAATTTAATGGCCCCAGTGAAAGGAAATGAAAACCTGAACATTTGCATCAGTTTATTAAAAAAAAAAGCTCGGACGGCCAGGACAGGACGTGGAAAAGCGAACGTTTGGTCACCCTACGCTACTTAATCGACTAATCATGCCCATCCCTAGTCTCCAGGTCTGTTTTTGAGGAGGTAACAACATTATAACACGACTTAAAGCTCACCAGAGTCACGTTTGCTTAATATTGGACCTTTAAACTCAACGCTCGTCTTTTCACAGTCGGTTCGATATCCAGACTCGGGCCCGTTCTCTCCTCCTGAACTATTACGGCTATGAGAACTTTGTGAGCTGCCCCCGAGAGCCCAAATGTTTGTGTGTGTGTGTGTGTCGCATTATCAGCAGGAAGTAGCCGAGTCTCTTCCACTTCTTCTGCTCGGCGTCTGAACAGTCAATGCGCGCGGGGGGTGAGCCAATCTGAGCCGGTCCGCTGTGATGTCGGGGCGGCCGTATTGATCCGCCGACACTGGGAGGCACTACTTCGGGGTCAGGGAGTCAATTGGCTCTCTATGCACCGTGTGGACAGACACCTCAGTCAATTGGCGTCAGGGTGACAGGCGGGAGCGGCCCCCGAGGGTGCAGAGCGGAGGGAGGACAGGAGGGAGGAGAGGAGGGTGGGGTGCGGAAAATAGAGGAGGAGAAGAGAGGTGGAGGAGGAGGAGGAGAGGAAAGGAGGTGTAAGCGTGGGTGTAGTTGTGATGCAAGAAAAGGAGGAGAAATAGAGAGAGAGAGGAGGATATGTGGAGATAGAGGAGAGAAGGAAAGGATGAGGGGAGGAGGAGAAAGAGGTAGAAGTAGCAGGAATGGGGTTGAGAGGAGAGGAGGAGTAGAGGAGAGAAGATGAGGGGAAGAGAGGCGTGAGAGGAGGAGGAGTGGAGAGAAAAGGAGGAGTAGAGGAGAAGAGAAGATGAAGGGTTAGAGGAAAGGAGAGGGAGAGGAGGAGTGAAGGAGGAGGTGAGGATGAGGGGAGAGGAGGAGGAGAAGTGATGGGAAGGAGTGGAGAGGAGGAGGAGATGATGAGCGGTTAGAGGAAAGGAGGAGAGGAGGATGTGGGGAGTTAGAGGAGAGAGGGAAAGGAGGGAGGAGGAGGAGGTGGAGAATAGAAGATAAATGGTTAGAGGAAAGGAGGGGAAGAGGAGGAGTGAAGGAGGAGGAGAGAGGAGGAGGAAGAGAGAGAGAGAAGGAGGAAGGAGGAGGAGGAGGAGGAGGAGGAGGAGAGTGGTGGGGAATGAGTGGAGAGAAGAGGAGGAATAGAGGAGAAGAGAAGATGAAGGGTAAGGAGGAAAAGAGAGGAAAGGAGGAGGAGGAAGAAGAGAGGAGGAGAGGAAGGGAGGTGTAAGCATGGGTGTAGTTGTGATGCAAGAAAAGGAGGAGGAAAGAGAGAGAAGGAAAGGAGGGGAGGAGGAGGAGGAACGGAGAAAAGAGGAGGAATAGAGAAGAGGAGAAGATAAATGGTTAGAGGAAAAGAGGAGAGGAGCAGAAAAGGAGGCATATGCATGTAGCTGAAGAGGAAGAGGAGAGAAGGAGGAATAGAGGAGGGGAGGAGCAAGTGAAGAGGAAAGAAGAAGAGGAGAGGAGGAAAGGAGGAGAAGAGAGGCGAGCAGGAGTGGAAGAGAAGGAGAGGGAGAGCAGCAGCAGAGGAGAGGAGGGGAGGAAGAATAGAGGTAGAGGAGGAGGAAGTGAGAAGGAAGGAAAGGAGGAGAAGAGAGAGGAAGGAGGAGAAGAGAGATGAGCAGGAGAGGAAGAGAAGGGAGAGAGAGAGAGAGAGAGAAGCAGAGGAAAGGAGAGAAGGAGGAAGTGAGAAGGAAAGAAGAAAAGGAGAGAAGAGAAGAGAGGGAGAGGAGCAGCAGAGGTGAGGAGAGGAGGAGGAACAGACGATGGGAGGAGGAAGTGAGAAGGAGAAAAGGAGAGAAGGAAAGGAAGAGAAGAGAAGAAGGAGGAAAGGAGGAGAAGAGAGGCGAGAAGGAGAGAGAGGAGGAGGAATAGAGGAGAGAAGGAAGTAGAAGAAAGAAGGAGACAGGAGGGAAGGAAAGGAAGAGAAGACAAGGGAGAGGAGCAGCAAAGGAGAGGAGAGGAGGAGGAAGTGAGAAGGAAAGGAAGCGAAGAGAAGAGAGGAGAGGAGAGGAGGAGGAATAGAGAAGGAAAAAAGGAGAGAAGGAAAGGAAGAGAAGAGAGGGAGAAGGAGCAGCAGAGGTGAGGAGAGGAGGAGGGAAGGAGGAGGAATAGAGGAGAGGAGGAGGAAGTCAAGAGGTAAGAAGGAGAAAAGGACAGAAGGAAAGGAAGAGAAGAAAAGAAGAGGGAGAGGAGCAGCAGAGGTGAGGAGAGGAGGAGGAACAGACGATGGGAGGAGGAAGTGAGAAGGAAAAAAGGAGAGAAAGAAAGGAAGAGAAGAGAAGAAGGAGGAAAGGAGAAGAAGGAGAGAGAGGAGGAGGAATAGAGGAGAGAAGGAAGTAGAAGAAAGAAGGAGACAGGAGGGAAGGAAAGGAAGAGAAGACAAGGGAGAGGAGCAGCAAAGGAGAGGAGAGGAGAGGAGAGGAGGAGGAAGAAGTGAGAAGGAAAGGAAGCGAAGAGAAGAGAGGAGAGGAAGTAGAGGAGGGAAAAAGAGAAGGAAAGGAAGAGAAGAGAGGGAGAGGAGCAGCAGAGGTGAGGAGAGGAGGAGGGAAGGAGGAGGAATAGAGGAGAGGAGGAGGAAGTCAAGAGGTAAGAAGGAGAAAAGGACAGAAGGAAAGGAAGAGAAGAAAAGAAGAGGAGAGGAGCAGCAGAGGAGAGGAGAGGAGAGGAGGAGGAAGGAGAAGGAAGAGAAGCGAAGAGAAGAGAAGGAGAGGAGGAGGAGTGAAGAGGAAGAGGAAGAGGAAGAGAAGGAAGAGAGGAGAGGAGAGGAGAGGAGGAGGAATAGAGAAAGAAAGAAAGGAGAGAAGGAAAGGAAGAGAAGAGAGGGAGAGGAGCAGCAGAGGTGAGGAGAGGAGGAGGAATAGAGGAGGAAAAAAGGAGAGAAGGAAAGGAAGAGAAGAGAGGGAGAGGAGCAGCAGAGGTGAGGAGAGGAGGAGGGAAGGAGGAGGAATAGAGGAGAGGAGGAGGAAGTCAAGAGGTAAGAAGGAGAAAAGGACAGAAAGAAAGGAAGAGAAGAAAAGGTGGAAAGGAGGAGAAGAGAGGCGAGAAGGAGAGAGAGGAGAAGGAATAGAGGAGAGAAGGAAGTAGAAGAAAGAAGGAGACAGGAGGGACAGGGAGAGGAGCAGCAGAGGAGAGGAGAGGAGGAGGTAGTGAGAAGGAAAGGAAGCGAGGAGGAGGAGGAGGAGGAGTGTGTCTCATAAGAGCAGATCTAATATAGTTGTCTTGCCTGTATTATTGATGGATGTGAGCACTTGTCACTTGATGGCTCCAAACGCACAACAAAGAAGAAACACGAGATCTTTGTTACACAAAA